TGCTGCAATTTAAAAATCTGCTTATTCAACAATAAACTTTTTTAGAGTTTCAACATTTTCGTTTAATTTGTTATCGTTTGTATCTAACTAATATTATCTCAGGAACTTTTTTTTGCAGTTGATGGTACAATTACCCATCGCCAAGTTCTTCTGTTCAATATGCTTCTTTCAAGTTTGTTACAGCCATTTCAAACAAATCTTCAAACTTTTCAACGTCTTTTGGATTATTTTCCCTAATAGATTTAAATTTGTTCATTTCATCCAAATACACAAGGACTTTTCTCCTTGTACCGCCATATTTTCTTTCAAGTCTTTCTTTTGCAGCTTCATAAGCGAATGACAAATGCCCAAGTCCTTTAATTGCTTTTAATGCGTTTCTGAAGTAACTGAAGTAATTCATACTCAGATGTTGATGGGGCTTGATCAATACATGCGTAGAATGAAGCTTTCCAATTTTCATAGTTCTTTTTATCGCCATTAAACATTGGTATAGAAACGCGTTTTAGTTGTTTCCATAAATCATGTCCAATTTTTGCAGTCTTTTGATCCAAATCAATTATTTCATTTTCCATTTTACGCATGATATGCGTTGATTTGATTGGTTCAATTTTGCTACTGCCATTTTCTTCTTTATTATCTTCATACTGGTCATTACTTTTTTGAGTACTTAACCATTGATAACATTGCTTTTTTGTTTCCATTTTAAGTTCTTTTTCCATCCTTTGTTGTTTTAAACTTAATTTTAAACTTCCATTGCGCAATATCCATTCGTTTACATGTTCCATAATTTCCGCAAATTCGTCGTTTAGTTTTCCAATTTCTTTATTGAGTTTTCCTACATTTTCTTTTAATTCCAGAAGTTCGTATTTCTTTGATAATTCAACCATTATCTCGAGAGCTTCGTTTTGAGTCTTTGTTAATTGATTACTCAATTCGCGTAACTCGTTTTTACAAGTGGGTTTATCGTCTCCAATTTGCTGAATAATTTGATGTTTAGTTCGCGTAAACGAAGACTTTAGAACTATTTTCTTCATGTTCAATGCAGATACTTCATTTTAAACGGTTAACTGATCTTCCATTTGGTTATTTGATTCTTGATTTTTTCTTTTTACCATTCTTCCGTGTTGAAGAAACTACCCTCTGCTACCAATTATGATCTGATGGCGATCACAAATAATACCGAATATGTATTATAACTTATATTTTTAAGATCTTAACCGTTTTTACATTAACTATATCTATCTTATATTCTTTATATTTTTGTATGTGAAAAACAACAACAAAACGAGTAAGTAGAGTAGCCGTGGCGCAGTGGTAGCGCACTTGCCTCAGAATCAAAGGATCCGTGGTTCAAACTCCACCTCTGAGTAAGTTTTGCGACATCGGTTAAGAAGAAGGCGTGGACTTCCGATTAAATGCTCATCCGCGGTGCTTTGTGATAAGACCATAAGGACTTCGTGGGGCACCTAAATAAAATTAAAAAAAAAAAAAAAAACTCTATTTATACAAAAATTTTGTTCAATAACAAAAAAACACTACTGTTCAAATAGTCGCCATATAATTGTTATTTAGTTCGTTATAGCCATATTGGCGCTATTTACGTTATATCGATCGTGGTATCGGATTGTTGTTTTAAATTTTATGCTAAATCAATTTTCTTCCAATCAACGTCATCGTTACGACGTTTGATAATGATGTTTTCCCCCTTAATCAAACACTGCATGAAGCTTAGCTCCAGGCGGTTGCAAATTTTCATTATTTCGTTGATAAAGCAGTTTTCCTTATTAACATTAGATATTTTAAAATAAAGGAAAAACAAGTCGTATTGCTCAGTAATCTGATAAACAGATTCAATTTGTTTTAAACGAGGATGGTAGATACGTCATCGATTTTAAAGTAGGAATACAGATAGTTTTTGCTGTATTTTAAAATACTAAAAAGAAATTTTAATGCTGATCTTCCAACAGCGTCTAATTTATTTATTTATTTTTTTGTTTAAATTTGATCTGGATTTATATAAGACTCCGTTACTTTTAGATATTTTTGAGCAAATATATTATATTTGCGGTTTCCATGTAATGTTCTCGTCGATAACCACTCCTAAAAATTTGTAAACTAAAACTTTTTTTATTTCAACTTTATCAATAAATATTTTGAGTAAATTTTGGGGTAAATAACGTTTTTTAGAGAGTGAATGGAAAAGTTTTTTAGAGAGGGAATGCAAAAGAACCCATTTGGTTTTTTTAATGTTAAGAGTTAACTTGTTACATTTGAACTAAGTAGATATGTTTTTAAGTTCATCATTCATTGTAGAAAAGAATTTGGATATGTCATTATTAGTCAGGAATAAATTGTTTGCGGTTTTATAAGTAACTACGAAGCCATTTTATAGTTATATAGTTTAATCCGTAGTTTTTAGTTTTTCAAGCAGGATTTCATGGTCGACAGTATCAAAAGCTTTCGACAAGTCAATAAAAACACCTAATGTAAATTGGGATCTTTGAAAGGAATTTGAGATTTCTCGTACAAATTGGATGATTGCATGTTTGGTAGAATTATTTTTTTTGAAACCAAATTAGTTATTATAAAAATGATTATTGAAGACAAGATAATTGTATTCTCTATTGTACATAATACGCTCTAAGATTTTTGAAAAAGTAGAAAGGATAGATATAGGGCGTTAGTTACTAATATTGCAACAGTCTCCTTCTTTCAAAATTGTAATAATTTAAGAAAATTATTAAGAAAAGTATTGCTATAATCACAAATTTCTAATCCATAAAAAGAAAAAAACCGTTAATTTGTATTATGTTTTTTGTAACTAAACTTTTACCGGAGATAATGAACTTGGTTTTTTCTGTGTTTAATTTGATATAGAGGTTTTGACATTGCGTTTGAACTTTATTAATCAACTCTTGTAGCCCAGAAAGAGTAGGACTTTGCAGGTTTACATCATCTGTGTAAGCAATAATACCAATGTATAAACCCATTACTGTTGTTCCAACTTTAGAATCGGAAATAATTTGACTTAATATAGTTTCAGTATAAATGTTGTATAAATGTGGCGATAAAATGAGTCCTTGTCGCACACCTTGAGACAAGCGGAAATTATTTGATTTATATAAAATATCAATATATGATATTTTAGCTGTACCCGAGCGGTATAATGAATGTAATGCAACTATAGGTTCAACTATAAGTTGGGGAATATTGCGATGTTCGGAATTGTTGTTAGTAACTGTGGGAGTGTTGAGAATCGTATTAAAGTTTTGTCAAAATTCTTCTACAATTTTCTTTCTATCTTGTTTCTTATTTATCGTAAAAATACAAGTGTTTGGACTAGATTTAATTTTTCGGATATTGTTCCAAAGCTTTTGAGGATTAGTTTTTCGAAGAAATTCAATGTTTTTGGTAATATTGTAAACATAAACAATTTAGTTAGTAATATAGTTTTTCATAGTAATTTGTTAAAAACTAATGTACTTGCATTCCGTGAAACTTATTAAATGCATATTAATTTGGCTAATGGATGATAAGTTAGTTAAAATTCGATATAAAAGTCCGAATTTCATCTTCATTTAAATGTGTTTTTAAAATCCGAATTCGATTTTCAATTAAATTTGGGATACTCATATGGCATAAATTCGTCTTTCAGTCACATTCGGTGAATGCTTATAGTCTAAATTCGTCTTTCAGTTAAATTCGGCTCTTAACAAGTTGACTGTGCCAGTCTTTAATTGCAAGTAATAAAACTTGTCTGAATTAAAACTCATATTCCAAAACTCCTCCAATAGATAAAGTAAAGGGGTATAAAGTAAGAGAATGTGCAAGCATCAGGTGTTTGATTACAAAAGAACGCTGTAATATTGATTAGTAGTGCTGTACGTACCAACAATGGTTTTACCAATAATGTGAAACTACCGGTGATTCTGAAAAGAAAGCTTTTCAAGCAAAAATCATTTGAATAATAAGTTAAGGAATAAGTAAAGAATAAGGTGCATTAATTAAGAAATGAAGACCACAAGTTACGTCTTGTTTTAAACCGCTTAGAATTAAACAGCCAAGCTAATATGAAATTTCAAGCTGCCAAAGAAAGAAGGTAACTTTTGTGTTCTGAGCATAGAAATTCATATTATAAAAAAGGTTTTTGTCTTGTGTGTGGTTATCAAATTATTGAGAATAAATTAATAAAACAAACTATTAAAAAAACAACTTATATCTAATTATAAGAATAAAATAATCTTCGATTGTTAAATGGGAAAAATTCAACCTGTTATAGAAAGCCCTCAAAAGTGTATTTACGAGTGGATCAACAGACCATTAGTGGACCAAATGATTATAAAACATTTTTTTTGTTTACAAGAATATTAAATAACTATCAACCAATTTAAATTAGTTGTGTCTATATATAAACAGAAAAAGTTTTTTTTTTATTAAAATAATTTTACTGATCCACTTTTCCATAAAATAATTCTTTATCAAAGTCAAGGCTAAGTCAAAAACTTTGCAATCAATTTTTGTTATCGAATTATCTTATTGATCTTGGTGAATCTTTTTATTTATCAATAAACACCCATACACAATACACCTTAAAAGCATGCAAAAACAAACTACTTTAAAAGAAATATTTCAAAATTAAAATTTATTTTTTTGTTAAGTAATAAAATTTATCAGCTTTGTGTAAATCTTTTTAAAAAAACTAATATCTTAGATATTTTAAGATCTGTTAAATTTCCAGCCCAATTACTTAAAAAAACATTTTTTGAGATTTCATTGTCCGACTTTATAAGTCTCTGTTTCAGTTTATGCTAGGCTTCAGTTTATACTAGGTTTGAGTAAGGTTTATTTGTTTTAAAATTGGTCTAAAAATGACCAATTTCAAAGTCATGTTTAAAATCGGAATTCTGTAGCAAAAAGGTCAGAGATAACGGAAATAACGTCTTGGTGAAAATAAACAAAAAAAAGCTGATATTCCAAACAACCTTGAATAAAAATTTTCATAAAAATAAAACTAATTTATTTACAATTATATTATTTAACAACACTCTTTTTTAAAAAAAACTGTTTTTATAATCAAATATTCACAATTTTTTTGCATGGCTTGGTGATTCAAGCTGAATGTCTTAAACGAGAATCTTTATGGTAGTCCTGCTTGAACTCAACGTATATTTACGGTGGTCTTATAAATAACTTCTTTTATATAGAGAGAATGTTTCGATAAAAATTTCAAGAAAGGATTAATAATTTCATACTGTATTTTTTGACGCAAAGCTTGTTTTTTTAGATGTTTTATATATTCACTAAAACTTGCTTTTATTCTGTCTATTCGATTACGGGGCGGGATTTTATTTCGTTTTTCTTTTGCTTCTGGTAAAACGTAGAAAGATATGCTAATCTTTTTTTATTTACGTTTGTACAAATGCATCAGAATTATCACGAGACATTCTTTTTTCAAATTGGTACAAATAGAGGAAAATTAAATACGACCTTATTCTTTCCATCTAAAGCAAATTATTATAACATATATAACACAAAAACATTATCATTTATAGCAATATACAGCATTATAACATAAAAAAAGCAAATGTTAAAATATTAATTACAATACTTACAATACACACACACACAAGGCCTCCGAGAGGGGAGGAGGGGGGAAGGTACAGTTTATCCCGGGCGGCAGATATTTAAGGGAAGCCAAATAAAAAAAAGGTACCTAAAATAAAAAAGATCCTTCATCTATAATATTAGGGAAATTTTGATAAATAAGGGCGCCAATCAGGGTTGTTGTCCCAGGCGGCGTGACGGCTCTCTGCGGCCCTGTGGACACACTAGCACGCATATATATATATATATATATATATATATATATATATATATATATATATATATATATATATATATATATATATATATATATATATATAAATTTTAAAGAAATGTAAAATAAATAATTGCTTACTGTTTCGGTTTTTTTAAAATTCCTTTCAATTTTTTTCTCGTCTTACACTTTCTTCCTGGTTTTTCACTGAAAAAATCTTTTCCAGACATCTCACGCATTATCACCTGAGTAAAAACATGTTAAAATTGAACTTAGATTTAAAAAAAATGACCATATATTTAATAAACAATTATATGTGTGTGTGTGTGTGTATATATATATATATATATATATATATATATATATATATATATATATATATATATATATATATATATATATATATATATATATATATATATATATATGTATATATATATATATATATATATATATATATATATATATATATATATATATATATATATATATATATATATATATATATATATATATATATATATATATATATGTATATATAATATATATATATATATATATATATATATATATATATGTATATATAAATATATATATATATATATATATATATATATATATATATATATATATATATATATATATATATATATATATATATACTATTTTCTAAAAACTTAAAAAAAAAACCTCCATATCCTGCTTTAAATCATCTATTTGAACTAATTGTTTCATCTGTAACTTCAAACTTTGCTCTAAAGCAAACTTCATTCTTTCTTCAAAATCTGCAACCCGAGCAGCCTCATCAGGTGTTTGAACTAATGGCTCGTAGTTTAAAGTTTCAAGGCTCTCATTGAATGATGATATAAGTGGGCGTGCTGTACCATGTTCAATGATATTGCTGTTAAGTAGACAAAACTTTAAAATTATAACTTATACAATTTCTTTATTATGATAATAAAAATTTCTTTAAAAAACCTTAGTCTTTGTTCGTCATTTTTAGTAAGTGTAGCAGTAACTAACTAATAATAGAAATTCTTTTAAAAAACTTTAGTCTTTGTTTGTCCTTTTTAGTAAGTGTAGCAGGAATTAACTAATAATAGAAATTCTTTTAAAAAACCTTAGTCTTTGTTCATCATTCTTAGTGAGTGTGGCAGGAATAAATGTATCAAAATCAAATGTATCTGTTGAAATAGATTCTAAGGTTCCATCTGCTTCAAATGCTTTACTTCTTTCGACGTTTTTTCTTTCAGAGTTGCATACAGCGTCCAAAATAAAGTATAACGAGACAATAAAAAAGAAGCCACTCAGCAAAAGAACCAACTATATATATAAAAAAAATTATACATTAAAACATTAGCAAATTTAAATAGATTGTTGTGTATTCCAAAATTAACCAGCAAAAAAAAAAAGTCAACATAGTAAAAATTGATTGATATTATAAATATTCATTACCTTAAGTACTCTAGAAGATACAATGTCTTTTTTTGGTTGAGTTGCTGGAGGTGTTGGACAAGGTGGACCAGGTAGGTGTAAGTAACGCCCAGAAACTGCTTTTGTCACTAACCTATTTAAAAGATCTAATATAAACTGTTTTCTCTACATTCTTTTATTAATATATACAGCTTGTTCCATATTTGTTCACATATTTGTTCCACAATGCTTGTTCCACATTTAATGTTTCTTAAACTTTATCAAAAATTCTTATATTTAAACTCTTACAAATGTTTTTAGCAATTTTGTATAAAAAACTGTTTGTCTAAAAAAACAAGATAAAAAATTTTCTATGAAAACTGTCTAAAGAATAAGGTTAAAAATTTCTATGAAAACTGTCTAAAGAATAAGGTTAAAAATTTTCTATGAAAACTGTCTAAAGAATAAGGTTAAAAATTTCTATGAAAACTGTCTAAAGAATAAGGTTAAAAATTTTCTATGAAAACTGTCTAAAGAATAAGGTTAAAAATTTTCTATGAAAACTGTCTAAAGAATAAGGTTAAAAATTTTCTATGAAAACTGTCTAAAGAATAAGGTTAAAAATTTTCCATGAAAACTGTCTAAAGAATAAGGTTAAAAAATTTCTATGAAAACTGTCTAAATGAAGTTTAACTTGTTACACTGAAAAATTAAGTAAAGAAATGGTTCGATATTTAAACTTCTGAAAATTATTAATTGTAACAATAACGCTGTGAAAATTTTAAAAATAAAAAATATTGTAGAAGAAGAGAAAACAATTCAGGAGAACAAATGCTGACACTATACATTTAACTTACTGCTATTAATGTAATGTGAAAATTTTTTTTTTTTCTTATAAACAAAACCATAAGTTTAAAATCTGTACTTAAATTACTCAAACTCCACTTAAAAAGTTGTGATGAAAAAAATGTTTAACTTATGTCGCAGAAACTTGAAACTAAAAAGCGCATTATACAAGAATTTTTAAAATGTAAAAATAAAAGATTTAATGCTTGTACATATATTAAAACAACTTTTAAAACAACTTTTAAAAACTTTTAGAAACTTTTAGTCAACTTTTAAAAAAGCAAAAAGTCAATATCTTATTTAACTTACATGAAAACTGTAAACAGAGATGAATTATGACCTCACTTAAAAAAAAATAATAATAACTTGTTTTAATTTTTTAAACAATACCTAATTTCTATTCTTTTTTTTTTTTTTATTGTTTTTTTTTAAATATTTTGTAAATTTAAATGTTTTCTTCTTTACCTTTTTTGTCAAATATCAACTATTTTTTTGTTACTTTTTTTAAAATTTTTTACTTTTAACAAAGTTTTTGACCAAGAATAAATTAAAGAATTTCTTCCAGAGTAAACAATTTGTTTACAAAATTAAACAATTTGTTTACGGAACAAACAATTTGTTAAGGAGTAACCAATTTGATTACCAAATTAAATTCATAATGAGAGCAATAATTTACAATAAAGATTTATTTTAATCATATCACATTGAAAAGAAAATTAACTAACCATAATAAAACTATTAATAAAACTTTTATGAATCTACATTAAGGTGTACATTAGGGTGTATATTAGGGTGTATATAAATACTCATTAATTAAAGACTAATAAAAATAAATAAAAAAATACTTTTAATATGGAGCATGCCATATATATATTATTTAATCTATACAAACCATTATGATGATGGTTTCTTTTTAAAAAAATTAAAAAATCAAATAGAAATCTTAAACATATACTTTTTTCTTTCAGCAATGTCTTGTTGGGTCATAGAAGAACCATAAAGTGTGAGCCTCCATGCTTTTAAAACCCCATCTTCTGTGTTAGATCCTCTGTCAACAATAACAATTGCCCAGTTTCCTTGTGGGGATTCGCCCCAGCATCGCACAGTTGAAAATGTCCAATCTTTAAATCCTTCCTGAGATCTAAAAACAACCTTTTTATAAACATGTGGCATTATTTGTTTAGAAAAAAACAAAAAAACAAAAATTAAATTAAAATTTTTTTTAATACAGCTAAAAATTACTCACTTGTCATATTTTCGAAAGCTAGCTAATCTTGAGACTGTACCGTAAGGTGAAATTAAAGATATTGCTAAGTTTCCTCGAACAGGATGTTTTATGTCCACCTAATATTAAAAACAAAATACAAACAAACAAAGAATAATAAGTTCTTTTTTAAATATCTTTATTTTTAAAGTATTGCAAAATAACATTTACATTCTTTTAGTTCTTTTTTATTATTATTCAAATTTAAAACAGAAAAATATATAAATTTTAGTCTATAAAACCACTGTAGAACTTTAATACAATGATATACATCAGTGACATATCCAGAGGTTTTTTGGGCATACCGGTCTGTCTGCATTTTGAGGACCTGTTTTTTTTTTTAGCAATTAAAAACATAGAATCTTAAAATTAACTTTAGTTTTTCTGAATAGTAGAAATAGGAATAAGTAACCAAAATAATCATCAATGTTATATTAACAGATTTAACGCCAACATCGATTCACCACTTATTTTCCTTTATGCTTTTTATTTGCTTACTAATGTAAAGAATGAGATCAAATTTATTTCCTTAATGCTTCTCCCACGAGAAAAGTTTTATAACTACAAAATTTAATAAACAATAGATTTATATAATAATATATTTCTTATAAATAAACTAACAAGATTTATTTAAGGGATATTAGAAAGGATAGACATTTTATAAGTCAATGCGTCTCTTATTCAAGTCTCGATAAATGTCAGTCAGCTTTTCACATGTTTAGTTTGTTAAATTTCCTGATCCAACCAAAGATATTCGCATAAGGCGATCTAGTGCCATTATACTAAGCCGATTTCTTTGTTTTGAATGTATTAAGTTTAGTATAGAAAACCCTTTTTAGACATGGTATGAGAAAACCCTTTTTAGACATGGTATAGGTGGTATGAGTAGTGAAAATTTGAATAACTTCATTATGTCATAGTACTGCTCACATGCATCACTCGGTATGGAAAACAGTGTAAATACCATTGCTTGTTATCTGGTGTTCATGCTTATATATATCGAAGTGTTACTACTCTTTAACTTGCCTTCTTTTACTAAAACTTGAATTTTTAGGTTCCTTTTTATTTCAAGGTTAAATAAAATTTCTCTATAGTCAGTAAGAAAACGATGGATATTGTCTTCATTATCTTGAACAGGATTAAACAATGGTGGTGCAATAACTTTTAATCCGTCAATGACAGCAGGTTTTGCATGGCCATAAAATTGTGAAAGTTTACTAATGTTAGCTTAAAATTTTCACTGTTAGCTTAAAATTTTCACTGGTTGCATTAAATGTATCAAACACTAAAAATACATTGCCATTAGTTCGCATTGCTGCATCAATTTCCTCTTTTAATCTCCTCATAAATGGCACTTTTATTTTCTTTAAAAATTCATCAATTATTTCTGGTGTTGACGTGTTAAACAAATTATTTTTTAGATATATTTAGATATATTGAGATATTTATTTGAATGAGTGGTAAAGAATGCCCTTTTACCGTTGGCTATGTCGCTAAGCTTGTTTTTTAAAAGGTCTAATTTTAAGTTTATCTTTGAGTAGACTAGGCTTCGTATTTGTAAAAACTTTGCAAATTTATTTATTGGTACTAAAACAACAGCCAGTAAAAGCAAAAATACTATATTTTCAAAAACAAGTAATTGATATGTTAGACCTTCCAGCTCAGCATTGTACTTCTCATCAACAATTGCATCAAAGTTGTTTATAACTTGTTCCAATCTTGAAACGAGTCATATTGAAGAAGCATCATGAGATAACCAATGCGTTGGAGCAGCTTTAAGTAACTTCGCTGGTTTTAAACTGTCAGCATTTTACGCTTCATCAAATATTAAGGCCTTAATGCTAGAATATTTCATGGCTTTCAAAACATTACATTAAATTACAAAGTAAACAGTTTAAAAAAAAATTTTTTATGACGTAACGGGTGCGCTGTTTACCGCAATTCTGTATAGCAGCTGCCATCAACCATCTGATTGTATACAGTTCCTTTGGTTGAAAGTATTTTTTTGACCTGTTGACATTTTTTGGCAGCATCCTGGTGTCTTTAATGTGCAGTAAATGTCCTTTGAGGATGTTCAAAAAGCTTCGTGCCTTAAGTTCTCCACACTTCTCTAATATCCCCATATTATTTATAAATACTACATAACAAACCTTGATCTTTTGCAGAATAAATAGCAAATGGAAAAATTTTTTGCTGATATTGGTGACATTATGTATATATGTCCATCTAGTAAATGTTCGTTGATATTAGGAATAATGCTTTCGTTTGATTCACGCACAATAATAACTTTGCTTTCGTTGGATTCACGCACAAGAATAACTTGGCTTTTGTTTGTTCTTATTTCAGGAACTGCTGATCTACCTCTTCTTGAACTTATTCTGTGTCTTGTTTTGTAGTTTGGTTAACGGTAAATGTTTCAAAAATTAACTTTTGGCCAGAATTTGCATTGTTATTTTTACTATGTAAAGATCTGTATGTGAACGAATTTTTGTTGTGGCTTCTACAAGATGTCTTTGGTTGACCCATATTACATAAGTTAAATGTACTTTAATACTTAAGTAAAACATACAAACTTTTGCGAACGAATTTTAGTAATTAAAGTTTATAAAAACATAAAACGTTATAACATAGCAAGGTCATTAATTCATTCGAAAGTCAATAACGTTTTTTTTCTTCTTCTCATACTTTTTATTTTTATTTTTTTATTTGCATTCACTACCAACAAGGCTGCAAGCAACCACTATTAAGTTGGGAGTTACTGGGAAAAAAAAAGAACAGAATTATGGAACAAGGAAACGGTTGACAGAAGACTTGAAAAGTTGATTTATAGTAAATAAAAGTTATTTACTTATTAAATCAAGTTTTTTGGCGTGATTATTTTATTACGTTTTAAAAAAGTTTTATTTATTGATTTTATAATTTAAAACCGTTTATTTACATTTTTACTGCAATTTTACTATTATTTTATGAGAAAGTTTAAAGCTTATAGAGTTTAATCGAATTTTAAATTATAGTTACAAATATGTCAGCGGAGAAGAAACTCATTTTAAGTATATTTTTTTTCAAGCTAATGTTTTTATGAAAGGATTTATAAAAATATAAAATGCTAAGCGTTTCTTTTTTTTTTTTTTTTTTATTTTAATTCACCTCCTCAAGGCCGAGAAGGCCACTACAGACGAGGAGGCTACTTATTTGTGGTTATAACCCTCTCTCAACTCTATAACTCCGAAACACGAACCTTGACGAGCAAGGCCGATGCGCGGAGAAACGAGTTGAGCGCGGTACTACCAGGAACGTGGTGGGGATCGAACTCGGAACCACTCGTTTTATGAAGCGAGCGCTCTACCACTACACCACTACCGCATTATTTCATTATTTTCCATTTCTTATTTTAATCCAATCAAAACGTGCATTTTATAATTTAATCCAATAGTAACGCATATATCAAAACGTGCATTTTTATAATTTAATCCAATAGTAACGTGTTTTTATTAGATATGTTGATTCTGATTCTCATACTTAAGAGATTCTCTCTTATTTTAATCCAATCAAAACGTGCATTTTTTAATTTAATCCAATAGTAACATATTCCATATTTCATCCGCGTGAAAAAAAAAAGGTGCTCAATATTGGGAAATTGCCAACTATAGTTCAAAACTTGCTCAATGTGCCAACTCAAATGCTTATATGACAGCATTGAGGAGTTAAGACAAAATTGTTTTAACTGAGTTTGGGCAGAAATTTATGGGCCCATACTGGTATACGGTATCAAAATCGGCCTGGATATGTTGCTGTACAAATAAAGTATGTATATAAAACTTTGTTTTAGTTTTATAAACTTATATAACCTTCTAACCTGTAATCTTATATTCATAAAGCCTTATATTTTAACCTATAATAGTATATTCATTTTACTCTACACAAAAATTCCAAACCAATAAAGTTATTATTTAGTTTTTAAATAACAACTATGTAAAAGAAAAGAAAAAGTAGATAATGTTAAAAATAAAAATCACACAAATATTTAGAATAATTGAAAAAAATTTACTTATGTATAAATTAACAAAATGTAAATGAATCAATAATTCAACAAAAAGTTTTACTTACAGTCACAGTAACATGCTCTAAAGAGATAACTTCAGCAGCCATCGTTTCTGTTACTATAAATAAATTAATTTATTTTAAAATATTTTATGTATTTGTAATAATTTTCAAAATACTGTTGTAAATGTTTTATGTGTTAGCAAACATTTTCAAAACATTGTCATTATGTATTTTCAAAGATGTATTTTAAAACATTATTGTCATTATGTATTTCCAAAGATGTATTTTAAAACATTATTGTCGTTATGTATTTCCAAAGATGTATTTTAAAACATTATTGTCAAGGCAGTTTCAAAAACTTGTCAACTTTATTATTGTCAAGGCAGTTTCAAAAACTTGTTTTAAAGTTTTGGAATTATACAAGTAGTAAGTATTTGTTAAATAAAACTAAAAATGACCAGAAAAGATAAAAGGTTATGAAATTGATAGGAAATATAACTTACAGCGCTCGAAATAGTTTTTCAAAGCTTCCCGATCAAATGTAATTTTTTAACAAAAACAGGTTATTTTCCCTTGAATTTTTCGAAATTTACCTAAAAATAGCCGATCATTGATCGTTGATTAGCCGTTATTTCGAGCGCTGAACTTATACTATAACTTTTATATGTTATATACTGTAAAATATACCTGTTATATACTGAGTTAAATTAATTCCAGGTGTGGATGGAATAACTGCATTTACTTTCATAACTTTACTTCTCCATGATGTCATAAATGGAACTGAGGGCCAAATCTATATATATATATATATATATACATATATATATATATATATATATATATATATATATATATATATATATATATATATATATATATATATATATATATATATATATATATATATATATACATATAAATATAAATATATATATATATATATATATATATATATATAAATATATATACATATACATGTGTATATATATATGTATTTATAAATATATATACATACATATATATGTAGATATATATATATATATATATATATATATATATATATATATATATATATATATATATATATATATATATATATATATATATATATATATATATATATATATATATATATATATATATATATGTATATATATAAATATATAAATATATACATGTATATGCATATATATATATATGTATATATATAAATATATATATATACATCCAGTGCTCGAAGTGAGGCGGGATGTGGCGGGATGCCATCCCATCACCTTTTTGTAAACTATAAACCATCCCGCTACCTTTTTATAAAACTCTATATATAACAATGATTAGGTGGGATGGTATTTTTATTTTACCGTATACCATCCCCGTTACTTTTTTTTCTCCACATCGAGCACTGTATATATCCATATATTTATATATACATACATACATACATACATACATACATACATACATACATACATACATACATACATACATACATACATACATACATACATACATACATACATACATACATACATACATACATACATACATACATACATACATACATACATACATACATACATACATACATACATACATACATACATACATACATACATACATACATACATACATACATACATACATACATATATATATATATATATATATATATATATATATATATATATATATATATATATATATATATATATATATATATATATATATATATATATATATATATGTATATATATATACACACACATCCCAACTTTATTTTGGTGTAACAAGTCTAAAACAGCAAGTCTTCAATGAAGCTAAATTTTGTATATAAACAAACAATTATATAAATTATTATGTGCAACAATTGCATAAAAATAACAAAATAAAGAAAAGAAAAAAAACAAATTTATATTAAAGTGTTTAAAAATTAAATACCAAATTTGTACTAAATTATTTAATTATTATAATTTATAAATATTAAATATCTCATATTAAAATATTTATATTAAAATTAAAAAAATTAAAAGTTTATATATAATATATAAAAAAAGAAGTTACTGGAACAAAAATCCCTGTAAATAATATACTAGCAAAAAAAATTGAAAAATTGAAAAAACTTCATTTCTTTATGAATACATACACTACCTGACTTTTATAGGGATAAGTGCAGTAAACGCTCATATAACACCTCAGAATTTTGATTAACATAACAATTTTTACCTTTGATGTTGTTACAATTCTCCATGAGTCTAAAAGCCCAAAAGCATGCTTATGACTGTGGGCAAATCCAGCACCATTGACTTGCCATTCCTCTGGGTCAATATCAATTCGGACAGATGTATAAACAATTAAATGTTGTACATCTCTCCAGGTTAGACAAGTTCGAGCTTGCAGCATAAGTGCAATAACACCAGCAGCTAATGGTGCAGCAGCACTTGTACCAGTGTGTCTGTCTGTGCACCCAGTGCCAGTTCCCAGTCTCCAATCAGTTGTTACCTGATAATCAAATAATCATCATCACTAGCATATATATATATATATATAATATATATATATATATATATATATATATATATATATATATATATATATACTAGCAGTAAGCAACCTGTAATACGCATTGTTAGTAAATAAATTTAAAAAAAAAACTGGGTATAGAAAAGCCTAGAAAATGACATAACTCGACTAATAATAATAATATTAAATTAGCATATTCATATTATCAGATATATATATATATATTATATATATATATATATATATATATATATATATATATATATATATATATATATATATATATATATATATATATATATAAATATATATATATCAATGTAGCAGCACTCCCTAAATGTTCTACCTATTTGTCAGTCAATGTACTAACACTCCTTGCATGTCCAACCTATTTCTTAGTCAATTCAGCAGTATTCCTTGCATATACTACCTATTTGTCAGTTAATGTAGCAGCACTCCTTGCACATTCCACCTATTTGTCCGTCAAAATAGCAGTACTTCTTGCATATTCTATCTATTTGTCAGTTGATGTATGTAAACATTAAAAAAATTAAAATATTTAGAAAGTCTTGTTTCTGATCCTAGTCAGTGCTCAGTTTCTTCACACTCACCCTTAGATGCTTCTGATCATGGTTTGGTCTCTCTAAAACTATTATCTCATTCTTCTTTACCATCAGAATCCCCCTATCATTGTACATCTTACAACTACCTTAAAGCTGACTGGGACTCTTTCCGTGATTTTCTTCGTGATGGCCCCTGGGTAAAAATCTTTCGTCTCCCTGTTGACAAATGTGCTTCTTACATAACTTCGTGGATTCAGGCTGGCATGGAATCCTTTATTCCCTCTCAACAATTCATGGTCAGACCTCACTCTTCTCCATGGTTTTCTCACATTGTGTTGCTGCAATTGCCAATCGAAACCATTACTTCCATATCTATCAGCAAAACAATTCTCCAGAAAACAGACGTCTGTTTATTACTGCTAAGAACCATTGTAAAAAGGTTTTGTCTAATGCCAAAGCCCGCTATTCTCAGATCATGAAATCTCGTATTTCATCACAAAAGTTAGGCTCTCGTGACTTCTGGAGAATCTTTAATAGTATCAATAATAAGGGCAAGTCTGTAATTCCACCTCTTTTGTATGGTTCAGACTTTGTCACCTCACCTAAAGACAAAGCTGAATTGTTTGCCAAGAACTTTTCATCAATATCATCTCTTGATCCCACTAGTTGCGTTCTACTTGATACAGCCGTCAAACAGGTTGATCCATTGCTTGACATTTATATCACTCCAGCTTCTGTATTTAAAGTGATTTCCCGCTTAGACTCTTCTACAGCTTGCGGCCCGGACAACATACCTGTTATAGTCTTGCAGAAGTGTTCTCCGGAGCTGTCGCCTATCCTTCCAAAACTATTTAACAAGTGCTTATCAGAGTCTTGTTTTCCAGCCTGCTGGAAAGCAGCATCTGTTATCCCTATTTTTAAAAATTCTGGAGAGCGATCCGATTCGTCTAACTACCGTCCGATTAGTCTTCTTCCTATCATAAGCAAGGTTTTTGAATCTTTAATTAACAAACACTTAATCTCTCATCTTGAATCTCATAACCTACTTTCTGATCATCAAAATCCACATTTTTCCTAATTCCAAGAGCTGATATGATATATATATATATATATATATATATATATATATATATATATATATATATATATATATATATATATATATATATATATATATATATATATATATATATATATATATATATACCCCTTAACATTTTTGAAATTAAGATATGTCTCAATCAGTTATAATTGGTAACAAGGTTACATTCTCTTATTTTGAATTAAAAATTAACTAAATAAACTTTATAACACAGTAGATGTTTGTTTAACATATTTCTATTTATCTTGTTTTATTTTTATTGTAAAATAGCATCTCAATTGGTTAATTTGTGGCGCAAAAAAAAAAAAAGTTTCAATCTGCATTGTTATGTAAAATAGTTATGCTTTTAAAAGCCAAATAGTTTACAAAAGTGTAACCAACTGAGATGTAACATATTGTAAGAAAATTGAAATTTTAATTAGGTCTCAAATATAGATTTTCTTATGTAACATTTCATCTCAATTGACGTCTCAATTTGAGATGCAAAATGTTTCAATTGATGATGTCAATTGGGGTATAACTAAAAAAAATTTAGTTAGCACGCAGCTGTACAGCTGCGTACATACAAAATTTGTATTATTTTTTTATCTTATTATATTATTAAATTTGTTAATGTAAAATAGAAATAAATATTTCGTTTATGTTTTACATTATATATATATATATATATATATATATATATATATATATATATATATATATATATATATATATATATATATATATATATATATATATATATATATATATACATGTAAAACAAGATATGACAGTAAAATAATATATAGCAAGCCTTCCTAGAAAGCACATGCAATCGCACACCTTGTTCATCCACATTTAAAGTAATTTTTTTAGACAGACTAGCCATGGTTGCCATCTGGTGTTTTTTTAAGCCAGATTTCTCAAACCTGGTTTGTTTTTTTATCGCTTGGCTTGGAATTTTTGTTTTGGTTTATTTTAGAAAATCTGGTTTAAATCTGGTTTATTTTAAAGTCTTTGGTCTTTTTTTGTTTGTTCTGGTATGTTTTTCAAAATCTGGTTTAATTCTGGTTTATTTAATAATAAATCAGTTTAATCAAGTTTTTATTTCATGAAAAACGTTAATTTGAGGGAAATTAAAAATCATTACAGAAGTTGTCATTAATCATAAATTAGTTAACATTGCATCATAAGAGCGAGTCTAAAAACTTATAAGAAAAATGAGTTTCTAAAAACACCGCTGAATTCTAAACTGCAACGTGAGACCATTTAGATGTTTCCTGAGACCTAGACCTCTGCAATATAGATATTTACTGCCACGGCTGTGTATGTGTTCCGTTTCTAACTATTTTGTTGAGTCTTCTCACAGGTCATCGGCATAAAAATCAGACTAAGAAAATATCAAATTAAGTCTTGCACGCAGTCATTTGGGTCAAATCATATTTAATAAGGCAAAAGATTTTTTACCAGGACTTTGAAATAATTGAGTCAATTATCGCAGATGTTGGAAAAGAAATCTATATCCATATGCAAGCAAAAATATATATATATATATTTTACAGGTTGATAGTGTTGGATTTAGTATAGGTGTTTGGGAGTGAACTAATTTACCCATGCCACTTTAAAGGCTGGTCTGGCACCCAATTAAACAATCACTAAGTCATTTTTCTCCTCCTCCCTCACTCTCTTACAAATTAAATTTTAATATTCAAGGATGAATTTTCTGATAAAATAGCAGTTTTTTCAAAATATAAATTATAAACAAGGCTTTAAAACAAAAAATTATGATTTTTTTCTTTTTTTTATGGTCTGGTTTATTTCTGGTTTATTTTTGTTTCATTTTTGGCTTGTGCCCGAAAAAAACCTGGCAACCCTGACTGCAGATCGTATCTTTTAACTTTAAAAGCATTTCAATAAATTGTGGCAAAACTTATCTACTGAGAAAAAACGTGTTGAAAAATTAAAATAAAATTTTTACAAATAAATAGCAATTTGTTTCTCATTTACTTGTGTATTGATAAAAGCAATAAAGTTTAGCAAAAATATTTGAAAAACAAATTTTAAAGTTGTCCGTATTTCTAGCGCAAATGATAAAGTATTTCCTTAATATATTTATTTATATATATTTACTTATATTTGCTTAAAACTGACAACAAAAGTTGTGATAAATTGTATATAAAAAAGTGTTTTTATTTTCCTTATGTTCCTATATGCTTTTTTCCTTGACTTGTATTCTCTTTTGGTATTGGAAAAAAACAAACACCCTAAAAAAAAGAAAACAAAAACAGTAAAATATGTATGTATATTATATTTTTTACTAAACCTTTTTTTAATTTTAAATTTTTTTTTAGTTTATTTTATTTAGATTTTCTGTTTCGTAAGGTATTTGTTTCCTTTCTTTTTTGAGTATTGCTGTTTTATTCTCTGTAGTTTTAGCTTTATTTTGCTGCAAATTTTTAAAATGCTAACTATATAAAAACATGGTCAAAAATTACTTTAAACGTGGGCATATATCTATACGTGGATATATATCTATAGCACACATTTCCTGGGAACGCTTGTATAGATATATATATATATATATATATATATATATATATATATATATATATATATATATATATATATATATATATATATATATATATTAGAGCTGTAGCTAGGCTCCCCATTACTCCAATTTGGCAGGCAATCCTACTTTTTAAAGACTTTTTATTCCTAAACTTTGTGAAATTTTTTGTCATAAAAACCTTAAATTACATAAGTATGAACATACTAGCTATGATTTTTGAAAGTAAAAGTGCTAATATGTAAAAATGTTACACCTCATTACATAAAAATGTTACGTCTTGTTACGTAAAAATAACAAATACTTTGGGTCTAATGTAACCTAACTCGGTTTTGTTACAATACATAATGGTCCTTTATACATAAATACTGCTATTATAAACTTTTAAAATTAACTTATTTTGTTAAACAAAATACTAACTATATTTCTCTGATGACCTTGTCCACTGCTATAAGTAACAGCTAACATAGCAGCGCATTGCTCTGCATAATATGGCATTTGTCCAAGTTCATCAACAGCACCTATGGTAACAGTAAAGATAGAATTTGCATATCCATCAAAATTACAGTTATCCTTGAAATGACCACCATTTCCAGATGCTACTACAAATATGCTTCCAAAACCTTTACGACCAAACATAACACCATGTGCTAATGCTGCCTATAAAAATAATAGATTGAATTTACTTTATTCAAGAATTTACTTATTTTACCTTGAATGTTTACTCTATGATTGGTGTCAAAAAAAGGTTTTTCTTCTTTCTTAAATTTCTTTATATATTACTATAACATAAAAATTAGAATAAAAATTTAAAAACTTGTCTCATCTTGCATCAAAATTTACTTATTCCTTGTTGTTGTAAGATTTTGAATAAAAACACAAACACATCAGTTTTAATAAAAAATCTCTATAAAATTCTACAACTCAAAATTATTAGGAATAGGAATCATTACCTGAGCTAACTGATGTGGTCCATCAACAGTTCTACCATTATCATCAGGACCCCAACTGCAACTATAAACATCATTTACTTCTGACTTTGTATTAAAGGCCATTGCTTCTAAACTATCTGTCATTGGTCCATCTAAAATGCGAATACCGGATACTTTTGCACCAAAAGCAACACCAACACCACAATATTCATTAGCAACTGCTGCAATCTCACCAGCGCATCTAATAGATAAATAAGTATATATATATATATATATATATATATATATATATATATATATATATATATATATATATATATATATATATATATATATATATATATATATATATATATATATATATGTATGTATGTGTGTATATATATATGTATATATATCTTTGAGTACTTATGGCCTTTCAAGCCTTTTAGCCTTGAAAGACCATAAATGGTGTCATACTGAAATAGCTGTTTGCAGAGTTTCAACACATATATCAGAGCTAATTATTAAGGACTTATAAACAAGGAAAAAATATTTTTGCTTTTTTTATTACTCTTTGCTTTTTTCATTGTTTTTTGAAAAAAGTCTGGTGACCATTTTAAAACTTAAAATGTGCAAAGTATATTGGGACACTGCATGTTTAAGCAGAAATATATACAGAGCTTAAATTTAGTATATTGCAATTGCGCTTTGTACCTTTACAATTAGCTTTTGTTGAAAAACTTATTTTTGCAATTCAATTATTTTATTCTGATATAGTTTTTGATATTATGTTGCTTAGACAACTCATAAAATATAAAATATATTAGAATATATAAGATTATAAGAATAGAATATAAGAAGGAATATCGGGTGGACACGGAAAAATCTGGTCATCTTTAAATTGGAATTTCTCCAAAACCACAAATACTTTTTATTTAACTTTTTTTTTTTAATTAAATCTTACTTCCTTATCTTAAATGGTGTTGATAAATTTTTGTTTACAAATTAATGATTTTCAAAATGTTTTGAAAACAAGTTGAGGTGCGTAAAAAAGTTGTGAATTTTTTTTGCAAAAATCCATTGACTTCCTATTGCTTGATTGCTAAACGCACAAATGTCCCAAAATCTACAGTCATAGATATTATAAACAAGTTCAAGACTACTCAAAGCTTCGAAAGAAAACTTGGAAGTGGAAGAAAAAAAACTTTCCATAAACCCAAAAAGTCAATTTTACGTTCAATAGCAAAAAATCCAAATCAGTCACAGCGAGATCTAGCAAGAAAATTCAAGACTTCTCGTTCTTATATCAAAAAAGTACTTAAAAATGCTGGAATTAAAGCATTTCTTAAAAAAATACACCTAAGAGAAGCTTAAATTGTGAAATTAAAGGAATTCAACGCGCAAAGAAGTTGGTTAAAATAATGGCGGATAAAAGTATGTGCATAATTGAAGACAACGAAACATATTGCAAGGCGGATTTTTCACAACTTCCTGGTTAACAGTTTTACTATGAAAACAAAGATAAATTTGTCGAAGATCATTTTAAATATATTCGACGAGAAAAAATTGAATCCAAGTTCCTTGTGTGGCAAGCAATTTATAGCTGTGGTATGGAGTCCTCTTGTTTTGTCACTAAAAAGACCTTGACTGTCAATCTCTACATCAAAGAATGCCTCCAAAAAAGACTTTTGCCTTTTATAAAAAAAACACAAATACCATGTCTCTTTTGGCCCAATCTTGCTGCCTCTCACTATTCTAAAAAAGTTTTACAGTGGTGCAAAGATAAAAATGTGAAAATTGTTCCTAAAGACGCAAACCCTCCAAACCGTCCTGAAGAGCGCAAGATTGAAGATTTTTGGGCAATAGTTAAAGGAGTTCTTCGTAAGGCAGGTGGACTAACAAATAATAAAAAGGACTTTCCAAAAAAAGTTTCCAAAAAAAGTTTTCCAAAAAAATTGCCTGAATAATTGAGTTTCATCTTTATAAAATATTAATAAAGTTTGTTTAATTCTGAAAATGACTAGCAATATCATATATTTTAACTACTTTTTGTTTAAATTAAACAATTTTAACTATTTTTTAAAAACAGATCTTCTTTCAAAATGAAATTAACATCAATTAACTTCTTACAAAAAGAAAGTTTCAATATTTGAAATAAATAGTTTAAATGAATTAAAATTCCATAAGCATTTTATTAAAAAAAAAATACTTGAAGCAAATATTTAATAAAATATAGAAAATATAGTTGCTTACATACAAATGTTGCAGTTTTGAAAATTTTATAAAATCAATATGGTTTTATAACATTTTATAAAATCACAAATCAAGTGCAAACAATATCTAGAAAGTACGGAAACTCATAAGCATTTTATTTACAAAAAAAAAAAACTTATTGCGAATATATAAAGTTTGAGTAATAGAAAATATAGTTGCTTACATACAAATGTTACAGTTTTTAAAATTTTGTAAAATCACAAATCAAGAGCAAACAACATCCAGAAATTACCGCAAACTCAAAGAGTCTTAATTGAATTTTTTTCTAGGAATTTTCAGAATTCCAGAAATTCAAAGAAGAAAATCCTCTATGAGTCTTTGTGAACCAGATTTTAATCTTGGTATAGATCTATGTATCAAGTCCTCTAACTATTCTTTAATGTTTCTTTTTTAATCCTTGTATAATATTATAATAAATATCTAGGTCAGCCATTATTGTATAATGGCTGACCTAGATATTTACTTTCTTTTTGTTTTTTATCATTCTTCTACTTTCCAAGACTGTTTTTTTTTCAAAGTTTTTTCTGATTCCCTTTCATTTATAAAATTACTAAATGATTTTTCAAGTCCTCATTACACTCATATCCACAGATTAAGCAATCACAGCAAACTTACATTCACAGCAAAGCTTACATTTACATCCACAGTGTAAGCTTTAATCCAGTGTAAGCTTACATTGACAGCATAAGCGTATATTTACATCCACAGCGTAAGGGTACATTTACATCCACAGTATAAGCATACATTCACATCCACAGCATAAGCTTACATCCACAGCGTAAGCTTACATCCACAGCTTACATTTACATCCACAGCATAAGCTTACATTTACATCCACAGCATAAGCATACATCCACAGTGTAAGCTTACATTCACGTCCGCAGAGTAAGCTTACATCAACAGCAAAAATCATTCATAAAATAAGTGCACTTTCTCTCCGTTTTAACAAACCATTGTCATTCTTAAGAAATAGCTTTAGCTTTAGCTGGTTTATATAATGGGAGAGAAGAATGGGTAGAAAATTTTTTGTTTTTTGATTTTTATATAAAATATTATACTTTATTTTAAAATTTGGGGAAAAAAGTAAGGTGGGGCTAGGCATTCTTGGCCATCCCTCTTTCTGATCTATAAAAAATTGGTAGCCCAAAATAAACTCTGGGCCATTTAACAAATTTGTATCCTAAACTGTTGCTGTCAAAAAAATTTATCTAGTTTTTCCCCCCAAATAGTGTTTTGAAACTTACCAGTCTTCATGCTTTCCTGAATAAAACAATTCACAGTTCTTTAAGTCTTCTATCAATTGTTTTGTAAACCTTTAATTTTTTTCTCTACTTCTTAGTAGCTCCCAACTTTATTAGTGGTTGCCTGCAACCTTGTTTGTAATAAATTTGTTTAAAATAAAGTAGATAATGCCTAGCAAAGCTAACCTTTAATCAATACATGCATAGAAACTTTATTTTAGTATGACATTACCAGTGATGTTTGGTGCACTCTTAAGTATACTTAGTTAGTCCTATTTGTACCTAGTAATTATCTGTTGGCTCTAGCCAACAGCAAGTTACAACCAAGGAATATATTTTAATCCTGTCAATTATAGTAGATAAAGTAGATGCCAATAAAGTAGATGCCAAGTTTGAAGACAGCGCTAATTTAACATTGATGAATAGTAAGTTATTTAAATTGGAAACCAGATTTAATTTGGAAACCAAATTTAAAATTGGAAACCAAAAATTTTTAAAAAACTTGGAAACCAAATTTTAAAAAACTAGAAGAGTAAGTTTTCCTCACCAAAAATTAATGAAACTTTGTATATAAAAAGTGAATACTGATTTGTTCAAATTTAATAAATAAATAAATTTATATATCCTTGTAAATAAAAAAAAAGATTTTTCAGACCTTCACCTAACTTCACCTATCATATTACAATATTTCAAAACTGTACATTTTTTACACTAGAATAAACAGGTCAACAACTTTTTATAAGAGTCTGATTATGTTGGGGCTGCTCTTAACCCCATACTAGGGCCATGCTGTCCACCATCAAAAAAACTGCTCTAGTAAACCTAGCCTGTAGTTACTATATTCTACAAGATTATTGTGTTTACAATTTTGATTCTGAATGAATTGAGTTTACTTGTTAAAAGAAAGGCAGAGCCAGGTAAAGAAGATTTTGTTCTAGCAGTGGCTCCAACTTTTCACAAATTTTAAATATTTTTTCTAATACAAATAGTATATTTTTTTAATTTTTAATTCATTTAAATTTTCAACTTATTTTATATTGAAATTAAATGTATTTTTTATTATATGTTTGTTTATTTAAAAAATTCATTGTTAAAAAAAAAATTCCAATATTGAATTAAAAGATATTAAATTATTTAACAAAAGGTTAACGACTAATAAAATGGTAATTATTATGTGAAAAATGATACCTTATAATGGTTTAACTGTTTGTTCATATCTGGATTTTTCCATTCAATGAGCAAACTTTCTTTAAGCTTAAGCTCAAATTTATTAGAAGCCTGGAATCCAATATCAAGAAACAGTCATTAATATAATTAATAAAACAATTATTGTTAGCATGGAGATGCTTGTATATGTGTGAGTTTTTGTCTCTCCTATAGTGTTCAATCATTCGTGTTTTAAGGTGGCAAGAAGTTTTGCCTATATAACAGGAATTACATCCTGCGCATAAACTTTATCATTAAAAAACATTGTAAACCTATAAACTTTAATTCAATTTTTACCTAAATTTCTAATACATTTTCACCAAATGACCCTCTTCCTGTAGAGTTCAAATTATCTGTTGTTTATAAATTTGTATGCGCAAGATGTAATTTCTTTTTTGCACAATATAAATAAAACAATTAAGAAAAAAAATTTATATAGGCAGAACTTTTTGCCACCTAAAAACACGAATGATTGAACACTACAGGAGAGACAAAAACTTACACATATACAAAAATCTCAATGCTAACAATAATTGTTTTAATAATTATAATAATGACTGTTTCTTGATATTAGATTCCAGGCCTCCAATAAATTTGAAATTAAGATTAAAGAAAGTTTGCTCATTGAATGGAAAAATCCAGATATGAACAAACAGTTAAACCATTATAAGATATCACTTTTCACTAAAAGTTACCATTTTATTAGTGGTTAACCTTTTAGTAAACAATTTAATATCTTTTTTATTGTATTTTTTTCTCAATTGTTTTATTTTTATTGTGCAAAAAGGAAATTTTGGAAACATATATATATATATATATATATATCTATATATATATATATATATATATATATATATATATATATATATATATATATATATATATATATATATATATATATATATATATATATATATATATATATATATATATATATAAAGATATGTATATCAAGCCTTGACCGAAATAACAAACTATAATTTGCACTCACACCCACCCTCACCAATTATGGTAGTAGTGCATTGGTAGAATGCTTGCTTTGCAAGCAAGAAGTTCCAAGATTCCCATCATGTCCTTTGTACAGTGCTCAACTTGCTTTTCAGCACAATTGCCTTGTTCATCAAGTTTCAGAACTAGTGCAGAATTTGGGGTTGTTCATCAAGTTTCAGAACTAGTGCAGAAACTAGGGCTGCCTGAATCTTATTCTGTCTGAATAAGATTCAGGCAGCCCATTTAAACGAATTTTCTTTTTCTAATCTTAATTTATTTTAAACTTTGCAAGTTAGTGGCAACAGAATTAAAAATATAAATAAAAAAGTTTAAAAAATTATTTTTATTTTTTTGATATTTTATTACGTACCTTGTACCATGGTGATTAAGTCCAGCTTCATCTACTCGTGGCATTGGATCGCCGTCATTTGAGTTTAAATCCCAACTCCCTTGAGCTGAATAGTTATCAAGAATATCTGGATTAGTCCATTCAACTCCTAAAAAATTTATATAACTCCTAAAAAAGTTCATTTAACTCCTAAAAAAGTTCAGTCGACTCCTAAAAAAGTTCAGCCAAAACCTAAAAAATTAATTTAACTTCTAAAAAAGTATTAGATAAGTGCAAAATCTTAAAAATAAATGCTTGCATCTAAAACATTTTTAAATATACTAAAAAAAATTCTTAAATTTAACTATTGAATTGAATCAACAATAGAATTTTCTATATAAATAAAAAGAGCATTCTACAGATACAAGTTGATGTTAAATTTTAAACTTACAATCCACTATTCAATTACTATACAATGTGTATAAAATATTATATTTAATTACAGAAATGTGTGTGCACAAGAAATTTAATGCACAGCATAACTTTGTAAATTTAAACAATTTCATGGTTTCTTTAGTCTTTTTATAAAACAATATTTCCTTTTTTCTTTTTTATAGACACACACACACACAACTTCTATTGGTTGTATGAATTATAAGTTCTTATACAAATTTAAAATTGCTACTGATAAACTTTTAAAATGTATTTAACTAGGTTTTTAATTTACAAACTTTTTTTATTCCTAAAATTTTTTTGTCTATCTCTTATTAAATTTATTTAAAAATGTATAACTACTAATATTTATATATAAATAAAAACCAAACACATGTTGTTCTTGGTTAATCTCTTTTAAGTTGGGCTCTTTCTACAGGAGGTCGATGAGGATTTGTTTTAATTCCAGTATTGTTTGCCATTCATTTTTCTGATTTTTATTAAAAAACTGTAAACTCATATAGCTAACATTGTTAATTAAACTAATACATGGCTAAATATATGCATCTAAATATTGATAAAATAAAAAGCAATTTAATTTTTAGCTACACTCTAGATTATAAAACACAAATGGTGTTTAAATTTTTATTCAATCATGCAAAAAACTAAATTCAAAAAATGACATTGTTTCTAAATCGAACAACTTAACTTATCAGACATCAAATGCCTAAAATCATTTAAGATATCACTTTAATCAATCAAAATAACTGCCACAAATCATCGCTTTCCCCACAAAAATCAAACTCTTGTTTAAACGTTATGTAGCCTATGATATTATACTATATGTGTTTTATATATAATTATTTTTGTTGTTTTTGTTTAATTATCATAACTTTTGTCAATATAAAAGATATCATCATTTCTCTTTGTATATTATTTACTATATAAAAAGGAAAAAACCTTTTGGCAAATGTTTAAGGCTAAACTGAATTGCTATTTAACAAGATTATAACTAAATGACTAAATTTTAATTTTGTGAATAAAATCACAGTAATGTTTAAAATAACAACCTGCTGTTTTTATCAGGTCTTAAATAATAAACAAATAAATTTGTATTATGTCATGATTACTATAAGGATTTTTTAAAACACTAAAACCATTTTAAAACAAAATCAATATCCTGCTAACCTTATAAATTGATCTATAAATCAATAACTTGCTAAAAAACAAGTCTAATTACCAACAAACTGTAGTATTGTTATATTGGACAATAATTCTAAAACTTTTCTCAATCTATTGATGAGCATCTCAAAGATGATAAAAAACCAAAAAATTTTTAACTTGAAAAACCTTATTCAGGATAATTTTTTTTTAAAAGAATAGATTTTGGATTACGCTAAAAATGAACTTAAACTATAAATTTAAGAAAGTTTAAAATTTAAATGGCAAAAACCTGAATATAATAAACAAGCAAAACATTGTATTATTGATTTGTTTTAATTTTTTAATTTTTATTGTTTTGTTATTAGATTAGATTTAAATTTTCTTTCTGCCCAGTGTATGAGTCTATTTAGAACAACAGATAAATCTTGAATATAATTAATCTTTATACCACTACATAAAGTTTTAAAAAACAAATAAAACTGTTAGTTGTAGTTCATTAATATATAGCGAAATCATTAACATATAGTAAAATTGATAAAGATGACATTCCAACCTTAACTTGATGATATTTATCAGTGAGAAAAATATTAGTTAAGAAGGTTACTTCTTCAATTATTCGATGCATATTTAGTTAATGGTTTGGGATGTGAGATAGAGTCTAACTTTTTTTTAGAAATCAATGTATACAACATCGTTATTAAATTGCTCAATTATTCAATCATTTGCGTATTCTAAAAGATTTGTGGAATATATATATATATATATATATATATATATATATATATATATATATATATATATATATATATATATATATATATATATATATATATATATATATATATATATATATATATATATATATATATATGTATATGTATATGTATATGTATATGTATATATATATATATATATATATATATATATATATATATATATATATATATATATATATATTTATACATATATATAAACAATGTTAAAATGTATTCTACAAAATAGAGTGCTCAATGTTATTAAAAGAACAAAGTATAATATCTAAAAAAATATATCATTTACCATCGTCAATAACAGAAACAGTGACACCTTTTCCAGTAATGTTATTTTCCCATACACCTGTTACATTAATATCATGTCCAATGAATTTTAAGTTATCCTAAAAAATATTATAAAGCTAAAGTTTAAAAAATAAGAAAGGTAAAAAAAAATCGTATAAAATAAAGATCTCAAACTATATTTTTTTTTATAGAATAGCTTATATTTTAAATAAATAATCTGTTTAATATAAAATAAATAATCTGTTTTATGATTCACAAATTAATTTTACCCATAA